AGAGGCAAGTCATCCATAATTGAATGAATCATCTACCATCCTAATTGAATAGCTGGTAACCACTCTAAAAGATTGAATTTTAATGGTTAGAATAGTAAATGAGTCATTGAAAATTTAACTTGTTCTCCTTTCTTCTTGTATGAGTATTGCCTATTGAAGACATGATATCGTATCGAAGACTTCTAATGATATAAAAAGCAAATACTTTTTTTTAGATTCGACAACACTTTAATTTGTAAGAGATACTAGTAGAGGGAGCGTGACCCATCATCTTCCTGAATATCGGTTGCTTCCAAAAACCAGGATATAACAAAATATTTTAAGTGTATTTTCACATTTTTACGTATGGGTCAAAAATGACCCAGGCTGGTAGTACTAGAGTTAATAAAATTTGTTTTTCTTTTATTTTTTATTTAATAAATTTTACAAGTAACATAATGTTGTTCATGTAAATCAAATGCACGACGTATTCCACTAAAGTTATCTTTATTAATAAATGTTAAAAGTACATAAAGATTATTGAGAATATTATTTTGATTAAAGGACGAGTGGCGTTAAGACCATTTTTCATACCCAGATATTTTTAAGGAAAAACTATATGAGTGTTACAAGATTTGTAACCAAGGGGAAAAAAGTAAGACTTCATGCACTTCAAAAAAAATTTGAAGTGCCAGTGAAGTACCGTTGAAGTACTATTAAAGTACCGTGAAGTACGACTGAAACACAAGTGAAGTACAGTGAAGACAATTAAAGTATGATGGCATGTAAATTTTTTTTCACAGCAGCATGATATTTTCGCAAGGGGAAAAAAGTGAGACTTCGTACTTTACTGTACTTCACTTGTACCTTATCGTACTTCACTCGTACTCCACTGTACTTCGCTCGTACTTCAGAAAATGGAAGTCTCGCTTTTTCCCCCTTGAATTTTCGTCTATGCATGCTATTGTTCAAAGTTGGGACATGCAATTTTATTTATTATTCATTTAATTAGGTTTATGACAAGAAAGTATCATTATAAACTGAATGTCCCTCTCAGATTTAAAATCTACGATCGGATACGACCGTCTACAAAAAAAATACGACGAATAACGATGGTCGTACACGATGATTGTATACGACGATCGTATACGATGCAATACGACTATATACGATTGCCGTAAACGACCACTGAATACGACCATCGTAAACGACGTTCGTATACGACGTTCGTATACGATCGTATTTTGATCGTGTACTTTTCTCGTATATAGCAAGATAGCTTGATAGTGTGATATATGTGTCACTTCTTGTTACAAACTATTTATTTGTTTTATCTTTTCCACTTTACATGATCTTCATGCAATACGCTGCCAAATTATTAACAATGAACTGGCTAGACTCTTCCCATGTCGTCTATTTTCTATAAAAACCGCCGGTTACTGGTGGTTTGCATCAAAACTGCCGGTTTACCGACGTTAACCGATAGTTCAAACCCAAACAGACAGTTAACCGCAGTTAATCCAAGGTTTTGTTCAGTTACTTGTAGTAATTATAATTTATAAAAACAATTGACCGTAAATGTATTCATAACACCGATAGTGCATCAGTTACCATAAAAAGATTTATTGGATATTTTCTTTCAATATACGCACCGCTTCTGTAGTTAACAGATATTACATTCAGTGTGTAACATAGAGGTTCATTCCATTCTTTCATTATTTGGCTAGGTTATTGATGTACATATTAATCCTATATCCTATTTGCGCCTACAGATATATGTTATCGGATGCACCCAGCACACGCATCAACTAGTCTACGTTTTATTGAGTCTTTTTATTGCACTTACGAGGGAACATTCCCAAGTGTCAAGTCACTTTTGAGTTGAGAGTATGAGCATAAGGTGGACCCCAGTGAGATGTGAAAAATCCCAAAATGATAGGTGCTCTTAGGCCTTCTGTCCAGAGTTATAGGCATTTTACTGAAATTTTAGCGTCTAGCATAGTAAATACCAGTACATCGAATGGTGGTATTTTGACCCAAGATTTTGCCCACAGATAGGTCTAGTTGTGAGTAGGATACCCTGAAAATTTCAGCTCAACAGAATGTTTCCTTCTCGAGATATTAAAGTCCCAAAAATCACTCATATACCACGGAAAATGCTAGAATTCTCTGTTTTTTGAGACTTTAATATCTCGGGAAGGAAGCATTCTGTTGAGCTGAAATTTTCAGGGTATCATACTCACAACTAAACCTATCTGTGGGCAAAATATTGGGTCGAAATACCACCATTCGATTTATTGATATTTACCATGCTAGAGGCTAAAATTTCAGTAAAATGCCTATAACTCTGGACAGAAGGCCTAAGGGCACCTATCATTTTGAGATTTTTCATATCTCACTGGGGTCTACCTTATGTTCATACTCTCGACTCAAAAGCGATTTGCCACTTGGGAATGTTCTTTCGTTAGTTTCTGTTCAGTCGACGTGTTAGAAGTATTCTTCGAACTATTGAGAAAATTGTACATTGATTTAACTATTTTCGCTTCGGCATAAGCCATTAATATCCAGTTCTAGCTTGATTTTTCAATCTGTCTTTTTTCAGTTCCGCACCAAAAGACAACAATCCAAAGCCTATCATTAATCGTCATAACTGATACTCAAAGCATTAAACAGTACTATTTTTTTATTTAGGTTCGATCCAACAGCTTTTCGAAATGTGAGTATCAATTTAAAATATAAACGATTATTTTTTTATGTAGGTTCCGATTCAATAATTTATCAAAATATAAGTATGAATTTAAAATATAAATTTTTCTTTCTTTTTTTATTTAGGTTCAATTCAACAATTTATCGAAACGTAAGTATCAATTTAAAATATAAACTTTTCTTTCTTTTTTATTTAGGTGCGATTCAACAATCTATTGAAATATAAGTATGAATTTCAAATATAAATTATATTATCGTCGATATCCCTTCCATTATTATTATTATTATCAGTGATAACACCATAATAAATCCTCTCCTCCCCCCCCCCCCTTAGATTATATTTCGTATTCCATTACTTCATCATCATCAATATCATTATCACTTAGTCAATTCCAAGGTAAGATCTTTATACTTTTGCGCTCCAATAATAACACATAAAAGTTGATCTAACACTTTATCTATTCTATTATTTTTGTAAACTATTAGTTTGCTGATAAGCTAATTCATAATGGAGTAAAAGTATAACACATATATAGTATTTCTCTAGATGAGAAAGAAAATAAAGAATATATGAGTGACATCTCTAATTATAATATCAAAGTTCTCCATATCAATGAAAAGAAAGATTTTCAAATAAATTTAAATTCTAATTTTTTATTTTAACAGCAGCTTAAGAGAATGTAATGCACAATATCAGAAAGAAAGACTATCGAAGTGACAGAATTTACTTTTACAGCAAACTTGCAAAAGTAAATTCTCTACAGACTAACTTTTATGTTAGAAAATACTGACATTGTGCAATTGCATTTTTCTTTTTATCACTATTATATAGTGACACATAACATAAGTGCACGTTGTTTTCCACCTATAGTGATATAGATGGAAAAGAACAGAATGAACGTAGAGTTACGTCATCGTATAGTAAAATACATTCGATTGCACGTTTTAAACAGCCGATATGTATGGTATACGCAGAATGAAAAAACATTCATATAGAGTAAGAAGGGGTGAATTGGCAAAAGAAATTGAACTTTTGTGTTGTAATGCTCATAACTTTTTTATTTCAAATGATAAAAAAAATTTTCGCTACAAAGTATGTAGAGAAAATATTTCTCTATCGAATGCTTTTTTAATTTTTAAATATCTTTTATAATAATGTTTCCACAATAGTTTTAGTGAGATCTACTAGAAGCTATGTCAAATCACCCCATGCGGGTTGATTTGGCAATTTCTGCTATTTTTCATATAAACAATAAAACCTAATTTTCCAAGCCTATTTTAAATTGGTTTTCAATAAAAATTATACGATTCGATAGCCCAAATTTTTCTCTAGAACTCTATACTAATCTTTATTTTCACTTTTTTACCAAATCCATATACGATCATTTATAAAAAAAAGCCTCTGAAAAACAAAGTTGTGCTAAATTACCCCATATGGAGTGATTTGGCAATCAATGCAAATATACGGGATGATTTGGCAAACTCAGCTAATTTTACTGGGACTACTAAAACCTATTTTTTATGAAAAATAAATATCATTTTTAAGTCATTCTATTGATTAAAATGTTCCTCTCATCGAGTTCTATCGTTCTATAGATTTCCAAAAATAATCATTATATATATAATGTTAATAACCAAACGAGTAATAATAAAAAATGTAAATTTTTCAAAATGATTTCAACTTTTTTGTCTAATTTTGTTTCCAAACATTTCGACAAATAAGAAAAAAAAGAAAATAGACAAACTATTAGAATCTTTCGTAATTAGAACAAACTATAATATTTAAGAACTAAAGAAAGAAAAAAATGAGTATCAAAATATTTCATTAGAATACAATAGCCATTTAGAAAACAAATAAATAAAACCATAAATAAATAGTTACTCATTTTCGATTATTTGAAAGAGCTTCGTTAATCATGCAATATTCGCAAAAAACTGGATTCGATGTGAAACAAGTTTGAGTATATTGTTGACAACAATATCGTCCACATTTGATAGAAGTAAAGCAATTCATATAAAGAATTGTATAGCAACGATAACAAGTCGGATATGATGGATATGTAGGTTGTGTATATTGATTAGTTAACAAAGTTGCCATTGTATTGGTATCCGAATACAAATGTGATATGCTTGTAGTTGGTTGACTTTGCAGATCAGTTAAATTACATGATGGAGATGTAAACGAATTATGTGCACATTGTACTGAATTATTATCGTCCATACTATCAGTATGATTCATGTGTTGTGAATTTGTAGATTTGTGAGAACTAAAAATAATTTTTCTGATCAAAAAAGAATCTAATGCTAGGCGAATCCTGACGTAAAACCATTAGAAAAACTAATTGTCGATCTATTATTTATTATATATATAAATCTGGTAGTTATTTTTTCCCTCATTAATATTTTTATAATTACTCAGATGTTTCTCTAACTAGCCTAGGAATAGAATATCTCAGAAAATGTTGAGCAAACTAATCGTTTTTTTTGTACCATTGGATGCAGTGAGCATTTTCTTGACAGGCTTGGTAAGTTTACGCTTTTTTACTCTTTCTTTTTGTTCTAATCGCATCAGAACATCTATGGTGGTAAGACTTTGGCCATGTTCTCGTTCGATTATTCTTCTTTTTCTTGCGTTTGGAGTTTGTGAAACAGCCGATGTCATGTATTGTCCAATAACATTCGCTAATACATCTATTGGTGTAGAACAAGAAGAATTAAACGAATTAGTTCTTGTCAACGAGTTGTTTTGGGTTTCACGTAAAAATGAAGTTGATGTAGAAGTATTGACAGCATCATGAGTTTGATAAGTCGAAGAAACAAACATCGTTGGTGCTGTTGATGTCAATGTTGTGTGTGTGAGAGAAATTGTTTTGCTACAAAGAACTTGAGGTGTATCGAAAAAGGTACACAGAATATATGCAGGAATTACCTGAAGATTGAACAGGTATTTGATATGTCAGATCAGTTAAAACTGGTACATAAGATGATGAACAATCTAAAAGACTAATGGGTGCAACTCAGATGAAAAATAATGAGATTCTCACCTGTTTGATTATATGCTGTCGGTGATGAATCAATACTTGCCGTACCATCATTATTTGTAGATGTAGCTAAAATTTAATGAATGTAAACATTATACATAGGTAGATAGGCAGATATAAACAACGCTCAAAAACTTACCATATGACAATGACGTCCCCATTTGCTGGGTAATATTTGAAGTATTGTTTTGAGCACAGGATGTAGCAGCTAAAATTATGCAAAAGTCAATTTTTTTTCGTTATTTCTTCATATAATTCATTAACAAATATGTGTTATCAAGGTATTTAATTCTTAACTTTACTAGTTAAATTCTCATTTCATCTGTAATAAGGTAGTTACTCTTGGTTACTCGTATGCATACGAATGCGAATTAAACATCAATGAAAACAAAGCTTACTTGTAATGATTGATGATGATGATGATATTGATATTGAATTTGAACATGAATTATTAGGTTCATCTCGTAATATAGTTGTCGTCAAATTAAGAGCTAGTGTGAAAAGTGTTGAATACAATAACTTTAGGGAATAATATAATAATGTTACTCGCAAGTATTTGAAAATTGATCACACGATGCTGATCGATGAAGACGTTGACGAGGAGGCTTGTCAATGATAATATCATTTGAACTAGTTCGTTGAGCATCTGTAACAGGTAAAACCATCACAGTTGATGTAGGTGGTATTAAAAGTTTTTCTTTACTTACGGTCTGTGGCTCGTATGGATAAATACCGGCCTTTGAAAAACCAGAACTGCAATGTTCTTTAAGCAAATGATTTTTCCACAATTCAGATATCTACAAGAGAGAAGAAACAATTAACGCTTGATAAAAGTTCGCACTGAAGTCTCTTAAAAAATATTCAGTGCATGAAAGTCACATTCCACTACGTATCCGAGATTTCTGAAGATAGAAATGTTATTTATTTTTATTATCTAAAACGTTATTGATATCTAAAATGTTAAGCTTAGTATAGAGAATTCACATCTGAAATGCATAATCGTGATTTCTTGTAAAAAAATTACGAAATTTTTTTGTCTTAAAATTTATTCTTAGTACTTACCTGGGAACTATAGTAGATATATACTGAACATAATTCATCTAAAAGCGTTTTACCAGAGCCCATCTTAGCCGTCTAATTAACGTTGCCCGTCCGACACTACGTGGAAGTGATGGGTTGACTTTTGTTGGACTTCTTTATGCATATGTGCTTTACGAAACAAAAAAGCAAACTTACCAATAAAGTAAATCGTTGTTTATCAATTGAACTGCTGTTTGTTTTGATGTTGTGTTCAACAAGAAGTGATCGCCATGCTGTTTTGATCTTATGCAATGTAACAACGTCCAATGGTTGTAATATAATAGTAGTGTGTGGTGGAAAACATTCTAATTCTATTTGATTTTCCATTGCAGCTTTGACGATTCGAGCACTGATGTGTGTTTGATGACCATCAAAAAAAAGAATGATAGGTCGTTTAACTTTACTTACGTTTGGAATAAATTGATTGACAAACCAATGGAAGAAAACAGGTTCATCCACCCATCCTGATTTTGTACAATTATATCTGGTTCCAGGAAAACCATTCTTCGGTATAGACGTTGACCATAGTTGTACACCTTGAAAGATGATGTACGGTGGTAATTTTCTGTAGAAAAAAAACGATTTATGACTTTTGTGCGAAAATATCAGAAAAAATTTACTTGCCACTAGCTGATGTACATATTAATAAAGTCGTATGAGACTTTCCCGTACCCGATTGTGATGATGTTGTATGTTTCGTGTTACGCTTAATGACGACAGATCTTCTACCAGGATCATCGGTAAAGCCAGCTTCGTCGACATTCCATAAAGCTTCCGGTCTGTTAAACAGATTATATTTCGTTAATACTTCGTGTAGATGCTGAAACCAATTATCTACAAGTTAAAAAACTCCAATTTTACAAGAAAAAAGGTTTGAAAAGTTCAAGTTTTTATTCTTCAATAATGACAAACTATTGTAATAAAAATACTCATCAAGTGAATACATCTTGTCAGCATGAGTATTCAACAACCGTAAACATTCTTGACTACTCATGACAATTTCTAGCTTGAGTACTTTTTGAGTACTCTTTGGATGAGTAGTTGTTCTGAAGTATTGCAAGTACAAATCCGCCAATAATTTTCCTCTTTTACAATTTGTAAACATATAAATTTTTATTATAAAAGTCAATTTTTTTTCCTTGATCAGCAAAGATCAACACTTACCAATAACTTCTTTGCGGCAAGCATTTGATCGATTTTTTTCAAGCTTTTCTGTTTTTCCTAATTTTAATTGTTTTGACCACCTTTTCATAAAACCAGTGAACCAATCTCGAAGTGTAGAATTTGGAGAGATGGCTTTACCAAGTTCCATCATGTAAGATTTTGCCAAATGTATAACTATTGATGGTGTAACTGGACATTGCCATTCTTGGAATAAAATAATTGTATGAACAAGCAACTCTTCTTCATCTTTTGTTAAAATTGTCTTACCACCAGGACGAGAATTGATGTCATTTGCTGATAATTTATTGTAAACTGTTCGAATTGGAATGTTGTAGTCAACGGCAGCATTAACAACTGAAAGACTTTTATCACGAATCTGGCATAAAGCCTCTTGTAAATCTTTTTCTGTATATTCGGTATGAGTTTTTCTTTTATATGTTCGAGGTATGATATACAAAAGATAAAAATGAGTGAGACATCAGTAAGAAACAACAATTGTCTGTCCTTATATAGATTGCCTAACAATTAGACGAGCACTGTCTATCAACATCGACACAACTCATATTGTGTATTAAACTCAATTTATCAATAAAATGCGTGTGACAACAATGATACAAAAAGTATCCGTCGACTTGGCGTATAGTTCATACATTTTAATTATAATCTGACTTTCTTTGATGCTCTTTATTCATTTGAGCAAAAAAAAACATTCATCAACAATAGAAAAAAATGACAGAAATTGTTACACGATGATTACTGGAATATACGATAAATATTTTATCACATTTTTCTACTTTACAAATCATGTTTTTGACATCTAAATGATTTAGTAAATTGACAATAAAATGGTTTAATTATTTTAGTTAGGCTAATTGTGTATCCAGCTGAAAATCAATATTACTATCTTATTTTATGAATAAAATTAGACAAAAAAGTTGAAATCATTTTGAAAAATTTACATTTTTTATTATTAATCGTTTGGTTATTAACATTATATATATAATGATCATTTTCGGAAATCTATAGAAGGATAGAACTCGATGAGCGGAACATTTTAATCAATAGAATGACTTAAAAATAATAAGTATTTTTCATAAAAAATAGGTTTTAGTAGTCCCAGAAAAATTAGCTGAGTTTGCCAAATCACCCCGTATATTTGCATTGATTGCCAAATCATCTCATATGGGGTAATTTAGCACAACTTTGTTTTTCAGAGACTTTTTTTTATAAAATGATCGTATATGGATTTGGTAAAAAAGTGAAAATAAAGATTAGTATAGAGTTCTAGAGAAAAATTTGGGCTATCGAATCGTATAATTTTTATTGAAAACCAATTTAAAATAGGCTTGGAAAATTAGGTTTTATTGTTTATATGAAAAATAGCAGAAATTGGCAAATCAACCCGCATGGGGTGATTTGACATAGCTTCTAGTAGATCTCACTAAAAATATTGTGGAAACGTTATTATAAAAGATTTTTAAAAATTAAAAAAAGCATTCGATAGAGAAATATTTTCTCTACATACTTTGTAGCGAAAATTATTTTTATCATTTGAAATAAAAAAGTTATGAGCATTACAACACAAAAGTTCAATTTCTTTTGCCAATTCACCCCTTCTTACTCTAGTTATGTTATTCGTCACTATATAATAGTGATAAAAAAAATGTAATTGCACAATGTCATTATTTTCCAACATAAAAGTTAGTCTGTGCAGAATTTACTTATGCGGAAAACCTGCAAAAGTAAATTCTGTTATTTCGATAGTCTTTCTTTCTGATATTGTGCACTATATTCTCTCAAGCTGCTGTTAAAATAAACAATTAGAAATCAAAGTTCTCGGAAAAAAAAAATTGATAAATGATTACGACTGATCGTTTAGATTTCGTCGTAATTCTCTTTTTAAGAATAAATTAATAATGACAATCATTAAATGTTTTCTTTTGCCTTTAGGTAAATACGTCATCGGTAATATTTTACGGTAAATTTTAATAAGATATTAATGGTTTTTTTTTATTCATATCTATTGATCGTTTAGTAATTGAATTTATCGGAAAAATTCAATAAAATATATTATTACCTTTTTTTTTGTTATTGTATTCATTGGTAGGCGTTTTGATAAAAAGTATTAGTAGTTTGTTTTTTAGTTAAGATTAAGTCTTCATTATTATATTTTACGGTAGGTTCTAATAGAATATGTTTCAATTTTTATTTTCGCCTGTTATTCATTCATGATAAAATGGTTTATAAAAAAAAAGAATTTTATGTTTGTTTAGAAATACGAACGATAAGAAATTGAAAATCTACTGTTCATTGTACTTTAGAATTGAATGATTATATAATGATACAAACTATTGTTTAAAATGGAAATAACTATTATTCATTTCAACATATAATGCACTTCATTGTTTTTTAAATAAATTTTGATAGCAAAATCATACAGACCTAGAATTTTCACCATTCAAAGACAGAAGACTTAGCTCCATTAAGGCATAGAGAAATTTGATTGGCTAGCAATTGATCAATCAACTGAATTCTTGATGAAGATTTTCGAAAATAATATTCTGAACCTATTTCTCTTTTGATCTACACACGACTGACATTTCTAGCTTGTTCCATTCGAGAGTTAGAAGAATTTTCCTGTGATCTATGATTTCAGCCAATTGACTTATGATCACAAGGAAAAGCAGCTAGATAGGAGTAATTCACCACGTCAAGTCGAATGATGATATTTATTTTTAGACTCAAACTCATCTGACACTGTTATTTGAATATTACTGAAATGTTGACTTTTGGGTACTTCTTTCGATAGTGTATCAAAATTACAACAATTTTATTGGAATAAAATGGGATGCGTGTTTTTAAACATAGCTATGTATCGAAAAGAATTTGAAAACCTTGCAAAGGATTTCAAAAGAGAGGGAAGCTGGCTTACTTAGTCAAAATAGATCTAGTCTAGCTCTTGTATTTGAAATGATAGAAGTCTGAGAATTTCGCCATAGATACTACTCATCGAGATGATCATTGTTTGTAGCGAACGGTTTTTCCTGACGTGTTCTTTTTTTTGCGCTCAAATATCTTTGTGAAATCGAAACAGAATTTCAACTTTTATAGGTGCTCTAGAATTGTCTAACTATGCTAGGAGTACAACAAATCTAGAATAGATTTGAGATTTGATTCCAAATCTTAAACTCTTCTTCTGATTGTGCCATACCTTTGATAAAGTGGCTTTTTATTGATGTCACCTTATCTTATACAATTCTTTCAGATTTAAGTCGTTTGAAATCAAATCCAAAGCAAATAATACAAAATCCCAAAACTTTGAGTTTGTTGCATTCCTAAGCTGTCTTCTATTTAACGCTGAAATTTCCAACTATGTAGCTTGTTCTTGGACCGAATAGCAAAGCCATCTTTGATACCTAATTTCGGATTTTTCGCAACATTTCACCCCTATCAGAAGAAAGCGACGAGGTTTCCAAAATCTGTCCTATAATGAATCTTCATCAGTATACGTATTACCACCATTCCTGAAGTTTTTGTTTTTGGCCAATGCGACTTCGCTGTAAAAAACGATCCCAACGTTGTGTCAAAAACATGTATTATTACGCCTGTTGTCAATATCATATAACAGTGATGATTTTTCAACGAAAAGATTGTTTCCAGGATAAATTTTCATTGTGATTATAAATATAGTATTACTTTTTTTTTGTTTTACCCAAAAAAAAATTGTTATATTTCAATAGAATTGTCGTATTGCCTGTGTAGACGCCTTACACGTACGTATTATTTTTTTTAAGCATGACATTATGTAAACAAGGAAAATGACGACAACCGTAAGAAATTCTATGTTAACAATGTCAAGTTTGTGTTATTTCTACAACCTCTACAGTTATTTTCTTTTTTAATCTGCTTCTTTTTCTTTTTTTTTAAATATTTCTAAGTGACATTAATTCAAACTAGCAGACGTTAACTTCTTACGCTTCTATTATAATAATCTTATAATTGATTCTTCAATCATTTTACCAGAATTTATTAAAACTTTATCTTCTCATCCAACTCGTCGTATAGAAAAGATACGATCATATCAGGAACCATCAGGTCTCAAAAGGAGACAAAAAACACAAATTTCAAGTGCGTAAAAGAAGTATGTTAGTATATCTTCTTCGGAACTGAAATGTGGAGCTCGCATATATTCTTTAGTCTCATTAAACTAATACAAAATAGGTAAAGTGAAAAATCTTTCGTAGATTATAGTTATTATTCAATATAAGTGATCAACACAGTAAGGATCTGTTTTATTCATTTCTACATTTCAAATAAGATCGTTTTTTGTTTTTTTTACGGGCATCATATTTTTTGTTGCATTGTTACTAATCGGACGTTATTTTTCTTTTTCGTCTTTCATTCTTCTTAACTTAACATTGTTATTATTATAAACATTGAATTAAATGGCAAATAGGGCTGTTTGTAAATATGCATTATATCTACAGCAGCAAGTCTTAACGTACTATTAGAAGTATATATCGATAAACTTACAAACAGTGATATTGATTATTTTCTAAAGTTATAATTTGATCCAATGGATCTTTTTTCTTCCAACTTTGAGGTCACTCTGTTCAATGAAATCGTATTGGATAAAAATAAGAATTTTAGAAATGGTAGTAATAGGTATACTGATGAAGATCTACTATAGTGCAAATTGTAGAAACTCTGTGGTTGGTTCTTTGCTGACCGGTGGGTATAAAGTTGCGAAAAATTCGAAGGCAGGTGTGAATGATGGCTTCGCCATTTGGTCCAGCAACAAGTTAGAGGCCTGCAAGTTCCAGTATTAGATAGAGAACAGTTAAGTGGTACTAGAATATTTATAAAATCTAAAATATTTTTTAGGTTTTACAAAGATATTTGAATCCAAAAACGTCAAAACTTAACATTTTCTATAGAATTTTTCCCAAAACAAACAGAACACAGCTGAAAAAGTCGCTTGCTACAAAAAATGACCATCTCGATGAGTAGTATCTATGATGAAATTTTCAGACTTCTATCATTTCAAATACAAGAGCTAGACTAGATTCGTTTTGGCTGGGTAATCTAATGTTCTCCCTCTTTTGGATTCCGCTCCGAAGAAGTTGTAATTATGATACACTCTCGAAAGAAGTATCTAGAAGTTGACATACCAGTAATATTCAGATAACAGTGTCAGATCATTTGTAGATCAAAAGAGAAATAGATTTAGAATGTTGCTTTCGTAAGTCTTTATCAAGAACTCATTTGATTGATCAATTGTTAGTCAATCAAATTTTGATATGCTTCGATAGACCCGCGTCTTCTCTTCTGAATAGTACAAACTGTAGGTCTCTACAATGTTTCTGTCAAAAGTTACTCAAAAAAGAACAGTAGAGCACATTATTTTTTGAAATGGATAGTAGATATAATTCTAGTAATATCAACAATGAATTGTAAAGAAAAGAATGATAGAAATCGATTATTTATAAAATGTATAGATTATAATTTGTAGAAAGTAATGTTTACTTAAAATGTTCTAGTCAACCATCAAAGCATTCATTTCTTAGTTAATCTTGTTTCGTAAAACAATAAATCAAAATAAAAACAGTTTTTATGAAATATGATCATATCACTATGAAGCGGTTTTGAAGGATGAGTGTTCGGAAGAAAAACATTTTTCTTCCGAACACTCTTCCTTTCAAAACAGTTCCACGGTGATATGTACTGTCGAAGTAAGAAAATATTAGTTTTTTTTTGTTCATGGAAACAATTTGTTTCTTTTAATGTAGATTTTCGACAAAAAAAAAACATCGACCGAGGACATTTTAATATTTCCCTTTAGTCTTTTTTTTAAACTTTGTCATCTGTAAAGTGATTGTAGAAAAAAGTACATTTTCTCTATAAGTTATGTTGACCCAACTCGTTCAGTACTACTTTAATTAATTCAAAAAATAACAATATAAAATTTACGAAGTTTTTCCGATTTAATCGAATACCTTCCGATAGTAAGCTTTGATATTTACATTTGATCGTTCTCATCAATAAGAGAAAAATACCAGCTATTATAGTATTTACTATCTTTTCAGCGTTGTTCAACTTCTATAACTTTCACAAGAGAGTTTTTTATTTCACGTATTTTAAATTTAAACTTTATTTACATCATCCTGTTTTACAGAAAAGTGCTTGGGAAGACAAAATAAAAACATTTCAGAGAATTTCTATGCTAGAACATCAAGATTTCAAGTTTATTTTAAAAAAAAACAAACTCCCATTGTTTGTCTGTCAATACAAATGTTCATGAACTATATTATTCTTTTTAGAATAAAATCTATTACAAGTACTTATAGATCGAAATGTTCATTTGCATTTTATTTCTTCTTACTATTTCTTATCATATTTCATGGTGTCAATATGATTTAAACAATGTCATTCGAGGTACAAAAATGTCTGTTAATGATGATATGTTTGTATCGGCATCAAATGCTTTTTCTAACTTTGCTGTTATCATGCATCCATTCAGAAATACCACTGCTGGAGGAGCTATACGATGTAACATGAGATACAATACAGCTGATCGTTATGTTCATAGTGTAGCTGTAGTTGGTATTGCTAAAAATAGTACTAATGCTGAACATTTTTTATTTGTTTTTGCTGCCGAAAAAATGTCGACAATGACTCCATATGTTTGTATTGGTCATATAATGAAATCAACATGTATCTCTACAGTTCAATGTACAGATATGGGTACAGGAGGATTTCATCAAGAATATTTTCTTATTGGTGTTGATAATAATGGTATTTTTGCTTATGGTTTTTCAAATTCATTTGCATTTAAACTGGATATTTATGCTAATAATATTACTTTAAATGTTTCAACGAATTCTGTTTGGCCATCATCAGGCTTTATTCCACATGCTATGGATGTGGCTGATACATGGGCAGTAGTTGCTGGTTATGGATATTCGGATGATGTGAAAAAAAATTATGCTGCACTTGGATGTTTAATTGATCTTTCTATGATAATAAATGCATCTTGTACGAATCTTACTTCTGAAACAACATATTTAGTACCATCAAATGTTATCTCATACAACGAACTTTATGAATTGTCAGTTGGTATTCGTGGTCAAAAAGTTCTTGTTGGAGTGCATCGACTTTCAATGTTTGTCATTCTTCGAAATCTTGGATCATCATTAAATGTTACTCTTAGACCTTCATTATCCTATCCTGATGCTACTTCATTTGGTCGTGTCGTAGATTGGGCAGGTGATACAACAATTGCAGTATTAGTTCTAAATCCAGATACAACATCTTGGTCGAAATCACAAGTATTCTTTTATAATGAACGTTCAGTGATGTTGACTTCTCCTCTCTTTACTTTTCCCAATAATCAACAAATATTAGGTAGTCGTTTATCACGTCCATCTTTTGCTCGATTTGGTATTACAAGTGAAGGTAATATGGCTATACTTACAGATAATGCTGATATTTTAATTATTCCTCTTGCTTCTGCTGGTTATACATCAATATGGATTGATACTATAGAACGTGTATTTGTATTCTATTTTCAACCAAAACTTTGTATTGGTGGAACATATAAAAATCGTTCAAGTTTAGGTCCATGTCAAATTTGTCCTCCACATACTCGAAATCCTGGCATATTTGCTAATGCAGTCCTTCAATGTATACCATGTTCGAACAATTCATCAAATTCATCTTGTCCACTTGCATCACTAGTCGATATTGACTTGAATACAGTACCTACCTATAGTCAAGCAGTTGCATATCCTGAAACAGGTGCTACAACAGATGTTGAAGATCTTCTATTAAAAAATATGTTTCAACTTAATTCTGATCCACGTTGTTTAATTATTTCTCCTCTTCTTTGGACATTAATTGTCAGTGGTATATGTCTTATTTTTTTACTAATTATGGTTGTAATTAAATTTTGTGGATGCGAACAAGGTATAAAATGTCGACAAAGAACAAAAGATATATTCAAACATACAGATATAATTGGTGAAGGTGAAATGTGGGCTGGTGGATTAGCAACATTAGCTATTGTTGTTCTTGTTTCATTTTCTTATTGGTTTTCTGTATCATTTATACGACGATATCCAATCGAAGAAGTTGTTGAACCAGCTACATTCGCTTGTGATCAATCATTAGTTAATGCACAATTTTCTAGTGGTCTTGAACTTCTTGATATTCCAAAATCAGAAGAATCTCAACCAATTTTTGATCTTCTTGATGCACAAATATTTTATTTAACCATAGAATTGATTAATACTGGATTTATGTGTGATTCTATTAAAACACAAGAAAATTTTATTGGTACTAAATATGTTTCCTTATCAAATAATTGCACACAATCAGTTTCTGAAGCGATAACATCCATCACATTTCCTATACCAAGACATGAGACAACTGTACAAATAAATATGACTGGTCCTTATTGGATTGGTGCTATTCGTTTATGTATTCGAGGAGAAGGTCAAATAAATATGAATGCTACTTTACGTCAACTAGATTTTTGTCAATTTTTTTCAACACCTAATCAAGCTATTGGAAGATTAACTTATATTCCAATTGTATTTATTAAAAACATTAATATGACACATGGACTGAGTGAATCAGATCAAACTCTTTATTCAGGTATATGGATGCCAACTTTCACTGCTGTATCACTATCGGATGAAGCATACTATGTTGAATTTGGAAATTATTTACGTTATATGTCTTCATTAACTATTATTCAAGTAATGCTTGATGAACGTCCATTTTTTATTAAAAATATTGAACAACCTATTGTCCGAACAGCTGAATTAATTTTTAAGTCTTTATTATTTACTTCTTTATGTATTGAACTATTTGGTTTTACGTTTCTTATCGTTAAACTTTTTATTGTACCATTATTTCGATCGCTTCCATATTTATGGAAAAAATGTCGTGGTCAAAATGATAAATTAAATAGCTCAAATGGATCTACTAAATCATCATTCCGTTCAAATTCTTCATACAAAAAAGAATCTACTGAAAAGATAGAAATTGATCAGATGATGGCTTTTGGAACAGATCCATCCATATTCAATCAAAATCAACAAGACAAACACAAGAAATATTCAACATCAAACATTGAATTGAATTTATCTGAAATTAATTATAGATTTTAATTAATTCAACATATCCAATATTTTAATTTCAATCAAACTTTTCGTTGGTGAATTTCAATAAAAAAGTATATGTTATAAAACATTTGTTACAATACAGTCTTCATAGAGAATAATTTGATTAAAAACCTTCTCAGTACAGCTCCATTGAGACTGAGATAAGGAATTCACATGTGTTCTTTAGTGTTATTATACTAATACAAAATATATAAAATGAAAATCCCTATCAAACTGTTGTTGTTCTCCAGTGTAATCGATCTTTACTTTTCTTGTATTCAGTTTTTTCGTAATTTAATATTATTATTGTAACCGTTGATTTAACTAGCAAATAAATCTGTTGTACATATCTATTATATCTAGAGCAGACTTCAACGCACTATTTCATATCTTGATATGCTCACAAACAGTGACGTTGATTATTTTCTACAGTTGTAACTCGATTAGTTCACACTGCTTTATGTTAACCATATGATGACTTTAGTAAATCAATACACAACTACTCATAATCTTCGGCATCATAAATGTAGTTTAGATGGATGTGATGGTTAGTATGGGTGTCGGTTCTCTATTTAGCCGTGACTACATCCACACCTTATATCCACAAAGTCTGCATTTCCACACACACACCCAAATTCATCTACACCACATACCCACACCTACAAAAGTCAACACAAGCACCCATATCCTCGGGTTTTGGCTGCAAGAAGAAGAACGAAAAGGAATACTAAGAAATTAAAATGCAATGAAATGTGTATATGTTGTAGTCAAAATTAAAATTCAATCAAATTTTTAATTTGATTGAATTTTGATTTTGACCACAATATATATATATATATGTATTGCGAAAGAAATAAAGAGAAAGATATGTAGAGATATAAATGAAATAATAAAGTTCTCATTTGCTTATCTTAAATAATTATTAAAGTGCAAGAATAGAATCATATTACCATCGATAATGATTGCTGAAATATGATATGATCTTTTCTAAGAAAGAAAAAAGTACTACGAACATCAGATGAATCAGAACACAGAAGAACAATGTCAGAATTTCGTGATGCATTCTATACAAAAATAATACAATTGAACGTATCATCAACTGCTGATACTTTGATTTTCCGTAGTCTCCAATACAAGTGCAACGGTGTGCTGCGACAACTGATCACGATCTTTATGTCTATAGATTTTTAATTTTTTAGAAAGTATATTACAAGAGATACACTTAACATACCATTTTACAAAATATTCAAGCTGAAGATATAAATACACATTTTCATTCACATAACATTCTCTAGCCAAAAGTATTCAACGAAGAACATTTAATACAAACTTTTATCTATCGAACTATAAAAGCCTTCGAACCTGATAAATCGTCGAGGTTTTGACAGGAAGTCAGACAATATTTCATTTTCATTGGTAATGAATACAACGAACAATTTTTCAGCAGTTACGAACTGGGATATGTTAATATTTTGGTTTTAGTCCGCTTGGCCATCGAAAGAAGAAAAAAAAATTCTAGGCAATATCTTTCGACGAAGCTTTCTAATATTTGTCATCTGCTTTCATAAGATCAACTTGAATATTAAAAACAAACGCTTGTTTTTTTTTGAGAAAATTCTATAGAGAATTGTTTACAATAAAGTTCAAATGCAAACGCCGAAAATCGATTGAAACATTCATAAAACTACGATCATCACCATTATCGATTTATACACATTCGTTATTCGAAAAGAAACTTGCCGATTAGGTTAATTACTTTCATTGGCAGCTAAGAATATTATTTATTGAAGATATTCTAGAATGAATATTGTTAAACAAAAAAAAAAACAAATAGTCAATGAAGCATAGATATTCGATAAGAATTAAGTTCTTTTGAAACTATTCGGCGGGTTTTACCGTTTCTGAGAGCAATGCTCCACGGCGAGGTTCTGGCTGCTTGGTTAACACAGAACCCTTGAAAATAAATGCTGGTCTATCCGGAATTCGACCGTCATAAGTACCAATCATAGGAAGACAACACTTTCCAGGAGCACAAAAGCCACTTCTGTCATAATAAGACCAATCGGTCTGATAAGTTCTGCGAATAATACCCTAAAATATTAATGAGTTATTTTAATTGTGCACTGTTTCTTTTTATTCTAAGTAGACTTTCACTTTGTTTCAACCTACTAATGTCGGTATGAGGCTTAAAAGTGTACGGTTAAAAATTGAATAAGTCGAGAATGCAAGTAACTAGCGGTCTACGGTTTTTAGCAATCAAAAGAGAAGATATGGAGACGTCTTTTTCTCTGATCATATGTAAGGCGAAATCATTTTAAAACCAATGATTTACATTTTTAAAAATGTATGAAAAAGGTCTGTCAATCTGAGCAAATATTGATACCAAGAAAATTTGCTTAAAAATCAACAAAATTCCATATTATTGAATCGAACAGATATATAATCTTATTGACTTGATATAAAAATGTGAGAAAATAATCATTCAAATTATTTCTTGAACGATAGATCTCAAGTCACTCTATTCGAGAGGTGTGTCGAAATCAAAATTGCATCGAAAGGACAGACTATATTCATACATTTTCTTTTTGAAGGTTTTGTGGAAGTCATTGGCTTCAGAATGATTTCGTGCTATATAGTCTAGGAGCAAAACACGTCTCTATGTGTGCTCTTTCGGTTACTAAAAACTGTAGATTACTAGCTGCATGTGTTCTTGACTTCTTCGACTTTTAATTGAGTATCTTTAAGTTTCGCATCAATGTTTGTATTTAGAAATCAGTTTCGTATTTCGAATACTCTAAGGAAAGAGGACATTTGAATTGAATGTCTTTTTTAAATTGAACAAATAGTCATGATTTATTTTTCCATACTGTTTACAATCGAAATATTTTCGACGATTCAAGGATTATCAAGAGAAATACAGAATCAAAATCTATATTCACGTATAAAATTTCACGAGGTGTTAAGAATGCAAAATTAAAGTAAATTTTTTTTTTCGTTTTGTTACACATGTTGGATAGAGCAGATCGTCGAGCCGTGTAAGAATATATCTGTTTTAATATTTTCTGTCAAGACTTTTGGTTAAAAAGCGAGTTTTCTCGATAGTCTTCAATTTCCCATTTTTCTTGAGAAAAACCAAAACACTGATACATTTTTTAATGTTTTTTCAATTTAAAATAGAAATTTTCATTCTGTTGGAACTATTAAAATGACATATTCAGATTCCTCGTGAAAACCTGTATCGATTGAAAAGAAGTCAAAAATTGATATATGGTAGATTTTTTTTGCATTTTAAGATATAATGGAGTTTCATATACCATTAGAACCACTGGAAATTGTGCTTCAACAGTATATTTTTGGTTGTTCGAAATATTGATATATTGGAGAAGAACATCATTCAATTCTAACTCAACATGCCAAAAAAGCATGAAATTTTGCCAGTAATTCGAGATTTTCTTTGTCAAAACTCGGTCATTTTCCGATAAAAGTGGTAGATTCTGAATCAGCATGAGAAACTGTACCGACTGCGATGTATTTTTAAGTGTTTTCTTGGTTTTCATTTTTTCATGAAAATCTAGGCCTTTTTCTAGGATCAAAATTTGTCAAAAAATCGAAGTCTTCAGAAGTGAAAGGAAATTATCCTATTTGAGGTAGGTTTTCGTGCTGATTTAGAATCGACCACTTTTATCGGAAAATGGCCGAGTTTTGACAAAGAAAATCTCGAATTACTGACAAAATTTTATGTTTTTTTCTTTGGCATTCTGAGCTAGAATTGAATGGTGTTCTTCTCCAATATATCAATATTTCAAAAAATCAATGCTATACTTTTGAAGCACAATCTGTGACGGTTCTAATAATATATGAAACTCAGTTATATCTTGAAATGCAAAAAAAAACCTAGATAGCTTTGCAAAAGAAATCTACCATATACAAATTTTTTACGTTTTTTACACTTTCAACCTGCATACATTTTATAAGCATATTTTTACTAAATAGATTAGAAATAGGTCCAATCAATACAGATTTTCACGAGAAATCTAAATATGTCATTTTAATAATTCCAACGGAATGAAAATTTTTATTATAAATTGAAAAAACATTAAAAAATGTATCGGTGTTTTGGCTTTTCTTAAGAAAAATGGACAATTCAAGACTATCGAAAACAACTCACTTTTTAACCAAAAGCCTTGATAGAAAATATTAAAACAGATATATTCTTATGCAGCTCGACAAGCTCTATTCAACATGTGTAACAAAATGAAAAAAAAATTTTGCTTTAATTTTTCATTATTTGCATCTCACATTCCAGGTTGAAAAAACACGGTCGTAAACGATTGTATACAACTAAATACGGTAGAAAACGATTCCTGTATGCAGCGGTTGGATACAATAAACGTATACGACGATATATGTTCAAGTACGATTAGCGTTTACCTTCAATATAAATGACTATCGTACGCAACTGTCGTATGTGATCGTAACTTAGCTGCAGGTTAATATGTGCATCTCCATCAAGACTTTTATTTTTCAAATTGATCATTAAATCAAATGGTAAATGTCAATAAAAGAAATAAGTCATATTTTTTTATGATTTAGATTGATCTTAGTTAGGAATATTAATTTATCTGTATTTTATAAAATTATAATATATATAAAGATAAATAAATAAAAAATCTTTATTAGTTAAAAGTAAAGATAGATTAAAGAATAAAAAAGATGTTCTATGATATTTAAATAGATAAATACCTATTATAACAACAGGATATGTTAATCCATGTTCTTTCTTATCATCAATAACACTTCTATATTTAATGTTGTTAAAAAATGAGAATGATGCATGAAAGGATATAAGCAAAAAAATTTTTCTGTGTACGTTTTTTGTATCTATGATGCTTTCATTTTTTTATGAGCTGTCTAGAGTAAATAAAAAATTAAGTGTTCACAGAAAAAAAAACCTCTCTTTATTATTTAATATATCATTATTTTATCAATATAAATATATTATTTATATTTATCCTTCATTACAAAGAGAGATTGACAAATAAGTATTATTTTTAAAATCAAGTTATATTTTTTTTAAAATTTAGTCGAGCAATGAATCCAATGGTATATATTAATTTATAACACTACATTATATTTTTATTATTTACATTGATTTCAATATTAAGTTCAACATTATTACTGTTTTATAAAACTAAATCGTATTTTTTTATTTAGATTTATTTCAAGAAAAAAGCTTCAATAGTAAGTATGGTTTTATAAAATTAAATTATGTTTTATTTTTTGTGAAATAAATAATATTTGCTGTATATACAGATGACAAGGGAGAAAACTAGTAATAATGATAATATCATACTTTTCTCACTAAGAAGCAAGCTCTATTAAATATGACGATAAACGAAGTCATATATGATGGTGTATGATTGTTCACGATAGTCGTATTATACACATTGTATACGACACGATGGCATACTGTTACAATTCTAGGATCAAATATACGATCGTTTACGACAATTGTAATGTTCATCCTGGGATACTTTATTTCTCAATAACTACTATGTTTAAATTCTGAACTTACGTCAACTGTGTAATTCACACTTCCATCTTTCCAAATGTGCATTCGAACTTTTGTTCCATCCCACCACTCGCCAACAAATTCTGGGGGAGGCTGTGTCCAAGGACAAAGTTTATTCATTTCAAGTACCCTTGTATGTTCGTCACAGAATGTAATGATAAAGATGCGTTTGTAGTTAGTATTTTATCCTTCATGACGAAAAATAAAAAAAAATAAAATATTATGATTATCAAATCAAGGCTGTTTTTAGAAAAATAAATGTAGAAAAATAATTCAACCGCAACATACAATTAATGACACGTGTGTCTGATGTATATTACGAATACGACTGTTCTTTTAGAAGAATTTTTTTTTACTCTGTCTTTCTAGCAAGTATTCGATCCTCTTGACGTATATTAGTTTTGTAGTAGCAGATATACTATACTTTTTTTCTGTTTTATCCTTGATGTCTCGTGACAATTCGTCAGTCAGTGACAAGGACATAAAATTTGGTCATGCTGTATTTAATCTGTTTTGAAATTACCCATGGCCAAAAAAATTATACAAAGCAACACTCCAATGCTAACTTCTAGCAAAAACGCTATTTTTGCATTTAAATGCATCCTATTTCATTTACAACGCTTTAAAATACGTGGTTCTTATCTGTAACGCGTTGTTTCTACTCAAATCGACGCTTTTTACAACGTCGTTTGAACACCTTTATTTTTCATACTTTCAAACGCGGTTTTTCTCATTCTGTCACTGAAAGAAAAACGAATTTTTTTTTACAAATAGATCAAAAGAATATTCACATTTTGTTTTTTGAGTAAAAACACCATTTTATGATCAACGAATTTACTAAAATTTAGACAAACATGTCACCGTATGATACTCAAAAATATATCATTCAAAATAGACTCATTACAGTAAAACCTCTTCATATGGACACCTTCTTATACTGAGCGGTTCAGAGTCCACCCGAGCAAATTTTGCTAGAAATGAACCTTTGTATTATAAGCGTCTCTTCATTCTGAACAGTGAGCGCTTGTTTCTAGCCCCATGATTAATAACAACCTTCATCGCGTGAGCAACGCATGTTTTATTACTCACGTGCAGAACGAGAAAAAAAAGCTATCATGTGTATTGCATTATGAAAAATAATCAAGGAATGTATATAAGAAGGAGATTGACTAGGTGTGTGTGTTAAGAAAAATGATTCTTAGACAGTTATAACATTGCCTGGTGAAACATTTTGTTACTTTATATTAACGGATAGTAACATCAAATCATGCCAACACGTATTGATTTACCTTTGATTACAAAAATTCAATTAATAAAAGATTTTGAATGGTGCTTATCACAAAAAGATTTAGCAGCCAAATATAAAATATCAACAGGCGGTGTATGTAACATTTTGAAACGTAAAGAAGAATATTTAGGTGATTATAAATCAAATCAATGCAACGAAGTACTTGGAAACAAAATTGATGGTGGAATATATGCCTGGTTTGTTGCTCAAAGAGCAAAAAATTTATCTATATCAGGTCTAATACTTCAAGAAAAAGCAAGACAAATTGCTACAGATCTTGATGATAAAGTTGTATTCAAGGTTTCTAATGGCTGCTTAGAAAAATTCAAAATCAGACATAATATTTCTTTTCGTGAAATCTGCGGTGGTTCGGGAGCTGTAAATTCTATCACAACAAGTGAATAGATAAATTATCTTCCATCTATTATAGATAGATGCGATCGTTCAAATATATTTAATACTGATGAAACAAGTTTGTTCTTTAATGCATTACCAGATAAATCAGTGATTTTCAATAAAGAAGAATGCAAAGGAGAAAAGAAATCAAAAGAAAGATTTATAGTCTTACTATGTTCAAATTGGAATGGTAGCAAAAAATTTAAACTATTGGCTATCGGTACGATAATTTCTCATTAAAACTATGATGCGCAAGAATAATTTAAACAGAGTTCTTTTTTATTTTTCAGGTAAAAGTTTGAAACCTCGTTGCTTTAAGAATTTGAATATTCAAAAACTTCCTGTTGAATGGACTATGAATAGAACAGCATGGATGAACGTAAAATTATTTCTAAATTGGTTAACAGAATTAAATGTATCTATGAAAAAACAAAGTCGACATGTACTGTTGTTTTTAGACAACGCTCCTTGTCGTCCATCAGATCTTCAATTATTTAATGTTGAACTACAATTTTTCGTGCTAATACAACATCAGTAGTTCAACCACTTGATCAAGGAGCTATACATTCATTTAAGCTGCATTATAGAAAATCTCTGGTGAAACATATTATTGCAACTGCATCAATAGCACAAAACATTCAATGATATCACAATTACTGCACTTGAAGCTGTCTATTGGATTGATTCAGCATGAAGGTCCATCAATGAATCGACAATTCAAAATACATTTTCAGCTACTGGTTTTAAAGAAAAGCAAACAGAACATTTATCCGATCTAATAACTTCTGATGTTACACAAGTAGTTCATCATTAACATTAACTGATTTGTGAACATCAGATTCTGATATTAATGAAGCAATAAAAGTATTAGATGAATTCTTGAAACATGTGATGATTAATAGATCAACAATGACTGCTGGCGAATATATAAATATTGATTATTATGTTTCAACATTCAAAGAATGGAATGGTGATTCTAAAAGGTTTCTTATTTTTTTATAATGTTAATCAAACAAGTTAATTAGAAGAAGATAATGAAGAAGATGAACAACATAATGAGGAAATTCTACCAAAACTTAGTGAAGCAATCCAAATAGCACAGCGATTACGTTCAGTTTCGGTCACACAATGTTCTCAACTTCATCAAGCTTTAAATTATATTGAATTCAAGCTAATAGACATGTATTTTGATTCAAAGATGTTCGTTTACAGCGCACTTCACGGTTATTTTAGAAAAGATTAGTTTTGTGTCGTAGAAAAGTTGTTAATTCAGAAAAATAGATGACTAATTGAATTAATAAATTGTTGAAAAGAAGGAAAACATCAACTTATTCAGTCAAAAACGATTACAAGTGAATATTTATCATTTAAAAAAACAACTAAAAACCTCCTAATAATGAGCACCTCCGGAAACTTAGCACTTTTTTGCAGTTTCGACCATGCCCACATTAAAGAGGTTTTACTGTATAGAGATAAATTCGATAACTATAGTACAGGAGAATGTCTTGAAGTATTATGAAACACATGTCGTCAAAATCGGCTCAGTTTTGACGATTGCAATAATAGAACAAGCTAACGATTAATCTCGATTGATCAGTGGTTATTTGAACAGATGCGATTAATTAGCAATTTTGAAACAAACCAGAGTTGGGCTAATCAAGTAAGAAATACCTCAAGTCTAAGTCAAGTAGGACTCGAAAAACATCTGACTTGCTCAGCTCTGCATACATGAATCTTATTCTATTTGCGTTTAAATAAAACTTCTTCTCTACGAACAACACAGGACGTTTACTTGATACAAAAATATGAAGATATTATTTTACGCCTGTCCAGACGATTGAGTGTATTAAAATTAATATTGAAATCACTAATTGGTTGTTTTAACACTATCACGATAATAAAATAAACGTTGAGTGATAATTGCATTATCACTTATCAAATGGTCGAACCTTTTGATAAACGACACACTTATTCGAGCAAAAGAATGTTGAACAAAAAATCGGAATAATTTGTAAAAATAAAAAAAAGTGCAGCCAGTTTCATGTTACAGACATGCTTTGAAATAACTGCTATCTACAATGGTTATAAGTTTAATTTATTGTTTTGATAAATTAAGCACATCTGTAATATCAATATTGATTGGTTTCGTAGAAAACTGAATGCTACATTTAACAACCAACTTGATATTAATCAGATATATTTTTAAAAACAAAGAATTTTTTTAGCAATCATCGTTTTGTACTGATCCAATTCTGGTAATTGATGTATTTTTTTTTATTACATTGGTATCCCTAGCAATTCATTGTAGCTGTAAGCGATGTGAGAATAAATATTAAATCTAACACACTTCTTGTTATCTTCTAGACGCACTTTAAAAGACAGCAATTCTCTCATCTATAACATATCATTACTACACACCATTATTATGGTATTATAGAGAATAATTTTTGTTCTTAAATGAAATATTGTCCATTACATCGATCTAGGTTTAATCGATCTAGAATGAAATACTAAATTGATCTTACTTCTTGTTGCTTACTGAATATATATAGAAACAGAAAAATTCTCTCTTCTATGAAATAAAAGTTATTTTGCTTGTCTATTTTAGTACAGTTTAAGGCGATCTTTTAAACAAGGAAAGTATGTCCTATAGGTCGACTTTGATGTACACGATGCAGAATTCGACGCTGAATTCAATACACATCTTGTTATATACTAAACACACTTTATAAAAGAAAAATATCTCCACTATGAAATATCATCCATATGTGTTACAATGATAGAATCTAAACAGATATTAATTTTCGAACAATCCTACAATATTTCTATATTATTAATTTTATTAAGTTTATTTTTAAGAATCAACAGTAACATTTTTGATAGGCACATGTTATTTGATGTATTAATCAATAAATATTATGGTAGTTTAGTTAAATCATTGTTCTTGTATAATATCTCTTAGATTCTATTGAGTTCAGTTTGCATTTGTTTTGATTTGTTTCGTGATTTTATTTTCTGATGGTTTTAATAATGAATATTACTGCACTTAATAGAATAAAAGAGAAAAGTGAGGCTAAAATACTGCCAACTTGTTATAGAACTTTTTAAATTCATATTTGATAAATGTTAATTTCAATTTATAATTCCGTTAATGCAGCCCGAGCGCCTGTTTTATAAATAGAGACGAGTCGATTAGTTATGTTGTTAAAGAGAAGTATGGAAACGGACTGTTTACTCATAGTATTAATTATGTTTGGTCGTTAGTATAACAGTATGTTGACATATGCAGTTGATGATAACTGAACTTTGGAACACCGTATTGGTCTGTCACATGGTAAAGTCACAAACATTGACTCCTTAATTAATATAATATCTGAAATTGTACTTAATAGTGATAGTGATTTTGCCGTCAAAAGATTCGCCACTCGAATAGACGCATCATATATTATTTTTTATATTTAGAATATTGGGTTGCATATATTTTGATTTAGTCCTCTGGTACTTGCTGATGTACGAGGACTCAATGCCACAAAGCTCGTCGGAACATTGTACGCTAGATAATGAAATACTTATAGAGTATGAGAAAATTTACATGTAGCTTTTTTCTTGATTTATTTAATAGTG